CTGGGGGGAGATGTACCGGAGAGAGGAGAAGGGAAATCTGGATCCAGGGATAGGATGGCAGCGACAGCTCCATGGCATGGAGAGGAGCTGGCAGGGATGCACCTGCCCTTGGAATTCCCACCGGCAGCACAGTTTGCAGCCACACGTGTCGTACACGGAATCACGGCGCAGCCTGAATTATTTAGGCTGAGCAGCTTGGAGGAAGCTCCTAAAGCAGCCGTGGAAGGGTGTGAGTGTAATATATAGAAGAGCTTTAATATTTACTATAGAAAAACCTCACACCTTGTTCTTCAAAATAAAGCCCTGGGAATAATCTGTTATTCCGTTTTGTCTGCGGAACAGGAAGGGTGCCAGAGCTATCTGAGCAAAGTGACATGTGATTGATATTTTACCAGACTCAGCCTTCTGCCGCCGAGGAATCCAGCTTGCATTTTGCATGTATGAAAAATGAGATGAGCAGGGCTTGTGTGGGTTATTTTTTATTTTTTTATTTTTTTTTTTGTAAACCTTGATTAACTTGATTGGCAAAGCTGGTGCTCCTTCTATAAACACGACCGTGAAACCTGTCCCGGAATATTTTCGACTTGGTTTTTCAAATTATTTGTAGGGATCTTTTAGGCTGTTGTTTGTGTAGCTGTCACATGGCAGCTTTACACAGAACCTATTTAAACTTGTAACAGGCGATTCTGTGTGAACGGGTGATGCTTAATATATCTGGTATTTTATAGAATCACAGAATCCTGGAATGGTTTGGGTGGGAAGGGACCTTAAAGACCATCTCATTCCAACCTCTCTGCCATGGGCAGGGACACCTTCCACTAGCCCAGGTTGCTCCAAGGCCTATCCAACCTGGCCTTGGACACTTCCAGGGATGGGGCAGCCACAGCTTCTCTGGGCAACCTGTGCCAGGGCCTCCCCACTCTCACAGGGAAGGATTTCTTCCCTGTATCCCATCTAATCCTGCTCTGGTCCAATGGTCAGGGCTGTGGTGATGAGTGAGAGAAACCAGCCCTTTCTGCAGCCTAATGAGCTCTGTATAAACAATTTTCTCCGGAGCGTGTGGATGATGGAGCTTTCGATGGGTCTCCGGAGAAAAATCAGGCTGGACCCAGGGAAGACAAATTGCAGGCTCCAACAATGACAGATTTTCTGAACATTTGAGATGGAAGTGGTGTTTCCACTCTCGGGACGCGCGCGGTGTTTGGGTAATTCAGCCGGGGATTCCTGATGCTACCGAGATTTATCCGGATTTCCCAGAGCTCCTGGGAGGCTTCCTCCGTGCGACACGTTCCTTAGAGCACTGGGAATTAGTCTCCTGTAAAAGCAGCGGGGAGAAAGGAGCCAATCCTCCAGATACTCGCAGTTGTAGGGCTGTTGTCACAGCGTAAGCCGTTCCAATGGAAGTGGATAGATGGGATTCAAGCAGACGGGGCTGGGAGCCGTCGGAGCGGTGCCGTGCACGGAGAGGAGGGTTGGTGCTGTCGTAACTCTTTGTGTATCACTGAAGTGCCAAATGGATTAGGAGCTTTAAAAGCTTTAATTTCTGTGCTTTTGGCACCATCTCCTTGGAACGTGCGTCTCTGTGGTGGAGCTCTGGAGAGGAAATGGGGCTTGAAGGGGTAGTCCCAGACTAGTTCCTTTAATTTCCCTTGCAATCAAGTGCTGGAGAGGGAGAGACAGATGCTGCAGCTGCGTGATTACAGAACGTGCAGCTGTTATCACACTTGCTCCTTTTCCTGCTAATGAGGCATCAACTCTCTCCTGAGTTTGCTGTTTGGGTCGTGGTTTTATTCTAGCAGAAAATTAGAAGTGTTTTTAATTTTTCTTCATCCTGGTCTGCTTTGGGTTCAACAGCTGTCAGAGGCAGTTTTTCAGAACTGTTGGAGGTTTAGTCCAGTTTGAGAAAGGAGTTGCCAGGGGATGGTTGCCCAGAGAAACTGTGGCTGCCCCTGGATCCCTGGAAGTGTCCAAGGCCAGGTTAGACAGGGCTTGGAGCAACCTGGGCTGGTGGAAGGTGTCCCTGCCCATGGCAGGGAGTCGGAATGGGATGAACTTTAAGGTCCCTTCCACTCCAAACCATGCTGGGATTGTATGATAAGGAGGCAGCAATTCCAGCTAGCTTGAAAATTCCTGGTGGTCTCTGGATGCAGCTGCTTGGAACTTTAATTTCCCGCAGGGTTACACCTCAGTGTCTTCTCAGCATTAATCCAGCTCCTCAGCCACGAGCAGTAAACGGGTGGTTCTGGCTTCAGCACCTTCACTTTCAATTCTCCACATTATCTTGTGCTTTCCTGGAAGACTTGTGGGCACAGGCAGCTTTCCTTTGCTTTGTGCCGCAATGCAAAGGTGGAGAGAGGATGAAGAGCTCTGCCACTCTCCCTTCCCAGCTGGCAGGAGCACAATGCTCGCTGGAAGGAGGCTCGGCAGGGCTCTGATTTGAGGGATGATGCACTTGCCTGTCAGATGGCTGAGTTTTGAGCAGCGTTCAAAAGCTCCGTGGCTGTGTTGTGCCGGGGGGAAGAGAAGGGATTGCTGCATCACAGGTGAGCTGGCAGCAGGAGCATCCCAAAGCAATCCACGCACTGCAGGTAACTGGGGAGGTGTGGAAAGACTTCTGGGAAGTGCAGCATGCTAAGGATGGGGTTTGTTCCGTAGGTGCTGGCAATGAATCCTAGAATCCTGGAATGGTTCGGGTGGGAAGGGACCTTAAAGCTCATCCAGTCCCACCCCCTGCCATGGGCAGGGACACCTTCCACTAGCCCAACTTGCTCCAAGCCCCGTCCAACCTGTCCTTGGACACTCCCAGGGATGGGGCAGCCACAGCTTCTCTGGGTAACCTGTGCCAGGGCCTCACTGCCCTCACAGGGAAGGATTTCTTCCCAATATCCCGTCTAACCCTGTCCTCTGGCGGTGGGAAGCCATTCCCCCTTGTCCTGTCACTCCAGGCCCTTGTCCAAAGCCCCTCTCCATCTTTTCTGTCAGCCCCTTCAGGCACTGTAAGGCCACAATTTAGGTCACCCTGGAGCTTCTCTTCTCCAGGCTGAACAATCCCGATTCTCCTTAACTGCTTCCCTCAATCTCCCCCAGGCTTTTCCTAACTTTATAGCAACCGTGGTGTGAACAAAGTCACATCTATGGTGCCCAGTTTTTAATGAATATTCCAACTGATTTGGGCACTAAACCCTCAGGATGTTGTGGTGCCAGGGCAGGTCAGGCTCCTGCCTGCGGAAGCCTAAGGAGAATGAGGTGGCTGATGCTGGGTTAAGAAAAACCATGGCTATTTATTTTGGGGTTTTCACCTCTGCCAGAGGCTCAGGCTCTCATTAAGGATAACAGAAAATAGGATGAGAGTTGCAAGGAAACCACTGGTCCATATAGCCCGGGAAGAGCTGTCCTCCTCGGGGCATGGATCTGCAGGATGCCTGGTGTGCCACTGCCAAACCCTGCTCTGCCCGAGCCAGTTTTTAAATTACAGTCCTCTTCCAAACTCCAGAGGTGGTGTGTGCTCAGTTTGGCCTCTTGTGCAAGAAGAATTCCAGTTGTGGAGGAAAATCCGTCTGACTTGATCCTCCTAATTCCCTAATTTCTGATAAGCAAAACACGCATGTGCATCAGTGTTTGCTCCCCACCGAGCTCTCCTGTCGGGGCACCAGCCTTGGGAAATATCCCGTGTTTAACAGGGTGGAAGGACCCCAAAACACTCCAGGAAGGGCCTGACATCCAGAAAAGCACTGTGCAAACCCCAGTGGGTTTCAATCCCTGAATTTCCCTTAGTTAACACATATATAAGCAAGTCAATTAAAACACATCAAGCTTATTTCAAATAGATAATCTAATTATCAGCTTGATTAAACCATATCAAATGAACAGTTCTTGTAATTCGGGAGCTTTGTTCTAATCACTGCCAAAGCAGTAGGAGCTTTAATTAAACGCCTCAAAAGTGGCAGACCAGTGTCAATTGAGGGGAGTTCCAGCCCAAACCCTGATTCAGGGACAAGCAAACCCCTCCTAGGTGGGTGCTGCTACAAAGATCAGCTCTTTGGTGCCAATAAATGGAATTTGACTGTTTTGTAAATACCATTGAAGGCAAGTAATTGTCCTTTTCTGCTGTTTCTGATGCTCAGAGACAGACTTAATTAAATCTATTCCACTATCACTCATTTAGGCTGACATTTTTAACGTCTATGGGTTGGTATCACCCACTCATATCCTGTCTTAGCGTTGGACCTGCAGCAACTTCTTATGGGAACGTGTGCTCCTTCGCACCGCAGAATTCTTGAATTCCTTAATTAAAGATCAGTTTTTGGTTTGCTGGATAACTCGGGAAGCTGGGGCTTCTTTTTCCTGCCGTGAATGTGTCTTTGGGGCCTCCCTGCCCAACGTGATTAGGTGTTTAATGTCCCCAACTTTTATAAGACACAACGACATGGGCAGCGTGCAGCCAGGTCCCAACCTGCACAGGGATTTGCATGGATTTAATTTATTAATGTCGGCAGGTCTCTGTTTAATAGCCCAAGTTTTCTTTTCCCCCCAAGGGGGTGGACTTTCTGTTTTTCTTTTGCCTAACTGTCTCACAAAACAACGCTGGAAGAGCCTGCCTGTATCAGCATGCAGGAAATCACAGACTGGGGTTTATTTCTGCTCCGTGCCCTGTACCAGCCTTCAGATTTCGGAAATTTGATGGGAATTTGTGAAGTGTTGGGAACAGCACCAGCGTAAGAGGGAGCTGGGTAGAACAGCTCCCTGCTTTTCCCAGCTGCTGTGGCATTTGCCATCCCCACCTTGCTTTTAATTACTATCATGTTCCACGGCCTGATATTAAACCACATCTAACTAATTGCATCCTGTCTCTTAATTGGCTTAACTGGCCATCACCCAAACAGGCTGTGCTGTATAGAGACAAGCTTCCCCAAATATCCCCTAATTGGCAGTGGGTGCTGTTTGCAGAGCCGGGTCCCTCTCGGCGACATTAATGGCTGTTTTCTCCTGTCCGTTCCCAGGATTGGACATTGATCCTATGACGCATGCCCGGAAGAAACAGCTTTTCCTTCTGAAACACCCAGCTGGTTGTGCTGGCCAGGCCTCGGGCGGCAGGAGGATGGACAGGGCCGGCACGGAGCGCGGGGAGCAGCGGGACGGAGACGCCTCCGAGGCTCCCAGCGGTCCCGGGGGCTTCGTGGGGACTCACAAAGGCAAGAGCCCGCGCGAGGTGCGCAAGACGTACCCGCTGCGCCGGCGCCTGCCCCCCTCGGTCAGCAAAAAGACCTGCAAGGTGCTGCTCACCCGGCTGGAGGATGTGGCCGGGTCTCTGTCCAAGCAGAGCCAGAGCTGTAAAAAAAAGCACCTTCCCAGCTGGATGGAGGGTTTGTTCTCCGAACAAGCGCAGCCCGTGGGAGCGGGGAAGAGCGATTCACCTGGGGAGAAGGGCACAGGGACTTACCCAGGGCCGGAGCAGGACCTCGATGCTGCTCCGTCGGAGCCCAGGAAGCGCCGCCTGGCCTCGCTGAACGCGGAGGCCGTGAACAACCTGCTCTTCGAACGGGACGACGGCTTGTTATCCGGCAGGCGCTTCCGCAGGGACTCCGGGAAACCCGCTGGGGACTGTGCCCTGAAGGGCTTGCAGTGCAAAGCTGGGGACAACTGGCCTGCCCTGGAGAAACCGGCTGTGAAAACCGGGAAAGGAAAGAACCGACCCGAGCCCGGTCAGAAATGCAACAGCTGCGAGCATTCGGTGGACGAGGTCTTTGATGATGGGACAAAGAGGGAGGACGGAACCGTCTCCTACCATCCCACCCCAAAGAGACTGGCCAGCCTCAATGCCGTGGCCTTCCTCAAGCTGACCCACGAGAAAGACCAGCCCCTGAAGCCGCGGAGTAAAGCGGACGGAGAGGGCAAGTCCGAGAACCACTGTTCAAAATCCATGCTCAAATGGGCCAAAGCCGGGAGGAAGAACTGTGTCAAATCCAAGAAGGAAGCGACCAGCTTAAAAATGGACGGGCAGCACGGCTGGCAAGGCCAGGCCCTGGGCACCTTTGGGAAAGGGGAGCAGCGGGACTCCTCCAGGCTCTACGGGACAACAGAGCCCGTCCCCTATGAGTCACTGTCCAGCTCCTACGCAAGCACCGAGGGCTTCTACCACAGACTGCCTTTGCTTATGGGAGGACAAGCTTCCATGAAGCCAGAGTATGGAAGACCCGGAGAGAAATCCCCGACCCCCAAACAGGAGTTTCATCAGCCTTCCTTTCCCGTGCAGCAGTTCCCTCCCTTGCCCGTGCCCGGGAATCACGCGGATTGTGGATGTCTCTACGAATCCTCGGATCTGACCCCGTTGAACGGGTTTTACGTTTATTACGGCCAAAGCGGATACAGTGGCTACTCCCCCTGCTCCGTTTACCCCAAGGACGAGCTGTCGCAGGCCGCCACCTGCGAGGGGCTCCTGGTGTCTCCCGGGGCGCTGCCGTCGGGCGCGCCCCTGCAGCCCCTGCACTGGTGCAGCTCCCCGTACTGCTGCGGGCAGGGAGCGGCGCTGAGCAGCTTCAGCGTCTGCGGAGTGGTGCACGTGCCCGAGGGCCGCGTCGGCAGCGTGACCGCGGGACGGAGCAGCTTCCCCTACAAAATGCCTTTTGCAGCAGGTAAGGTGCCGAGGGCAGGCGAGTCCCCGGGCGGCGTTCCCGGGAGAAAGGAGAGGGCTGGCGGTTCCCTCTGCTCGCGCGGTGTCTCGTCTCAGAACTCGCCTCCCACCTCCCCTTCCCTCGTGTTTTAGCCCGGAGGGTTTTTCCCACCGAAAGGTCTCGTCGGTGTGGGAAGCGGAGGATCGGTGAAAGGGTTCGGGCGGCGAGAGGGTGACTCATGGCTTGTCGTGCCGGAGCTGCCGCCGAGCTTTGATGTGTGTAAAACCAGCGGGGTTCAGTTCCTGCACGCTCCGGGAGGTGCAGCCATCCTGCCGCGCTGCTCTGAGCCCAGAGTTGGAGCACTCCGACCAGAGTTACTGCTGCCATCCCGAAACCTCGCTCTGGGGGCTGAACATCCTCACAGAGCGCGTGAAGAAGCAGGAGTTGTTAAAATCTTACGGTGCCGGCTGGGGGGATGCAGGCTCTTCGGATTCCATGGATCAGAGCTGGCAGGGCTGTGTAGGGAGTTTCAGTCAGGGGGTCTAAGTGCCGGGCACGCTGTTAGTTTGGGAATTCTTGGTCCCATCTTTGCTCCCAGCGTGTGACAATGAAGCCCTGAAATGAGGAGGGGTGAGGGTGCCCAGTGAGTTGTTACCTGCCCGGCTCTCCTCTGTCCCCCGCCTGCTTTTCAGACTTCCTGCTTTACCTCGGAGCTTTGCCTCTGCTGCTGCTGCTGCTGAAAAATAGCTTTTTAAATATTTAAAAGTGTTGTGTTGTGTGGGGGTTATCAGACACCAGCACTTTGTATAAAGCCATCAGGGTGGACAGTGCTGCGAGCAGCCGGTCTGTAGAGGAGGCTGCTTCTCCAGCTGCTGGGAGTGCCATCACCAGATCTTCCCACTAAAACCTCGTGTCCCAGCCAAGAGGTGGCACGACTTACCCACTGAAAACAGATTTTCAGGTAGGTGGATGGCATTTTGGTTCGAGAAAGGCTTTGTCATCGTCTGTTGTAGGAAGCTGCTGAAACTCTGGAGCCTTTGGTTGAAGTGTAATTTCCGTTCTCCCGAAATATCCCCGCTCTCGTGGTGCTGCTTCCTACGGCAGCAGCCAGCCAGGGTTCACTGGTGGCTTCAGAGCTCTTGGAAGTGGAATGCTCACAAGACAAGCAGCTGAGCAGTGTGTTCTGGCCTGACAGTTTCCGTGTAGTGCCCCGAGGTCATACCAGTCTGCTTTGTTCCTCACGTGTCGCACGCTGGTGCCTCTGATTTTGTGCAGCCAGAAGGATGCAGACAGTGTGTTTCCCAGAACTCAGCCCTCCCCATGGACTGGCCCTCACAGTGCTGGCAGGGGCAGCAGCAGTGGATGCTTACTGGTGTGTCACCCCACTGCTGTGATTTCCTTCCTGTGATCAACTTGGATTTAAAATCCTACAACACCGGAATCATTTAGGTTTTGATTTGTGGATTGGAGCCTATAAGGTCTTTGAAAATATTAACAGGGACTTAGGCCTAGGGGTTGATTTTTATATGATTGTACACCTCTGAAGTATTTTCCTTCCCTGTGAACTAAAGGAGCACTTTGGCTGCAGGAGCAGGCTCCCATTGGAGAGCAGTGGGATGAGGGATCCAGTTTGATGTGCTATGTGTTCCATCTGTCTGATTTGGTGCATTCCAGGTGTTCATGTGGGAATATCAGTGTCTGTGTGGTCCATATTGAGGGATTGGGCTGTGACCTTGGGCAGTGTGGGAGCAGTGTGGTGGGGACAAGGCAGGACAGGCTGTGAGAGCTGCTTTAGGCCTGGTGCCATTGGAGAGGCTGGAAGGGGTGCCAGCGAGAGCAGCTCTGCACCACTGACTGCCCTGACCTTCAGTACATATTCTTGTGAAGCTTCATCCTGCTTTAGCTCAAGCTTAAAAACTGCTTTTTAAAGCAGAATACCTGAGAGGTGATTCCCTGCTCTGTGGTCCTGTGCCTACCAGCGCCCACATCCTGGTGTCCGTGCTCTCCAGTGAGTGAGTTCCTGTGGCGTTTGCCGCTCAGGGTTGGTGACAGTGACAGTGGTCCATGGCACCCCTCACACAGCTCCATTGCAACCCCTCAGGGAGGGTCAGTGGGGAGGCAGGAGGCAACAACTTCCCGTCTCTCCAAGGGCTCTCAGCAGTTTTTCGACTTGACTTGGGATGGATTTTCCCCTTCCCATTTGTAAGCAGCTCCGCAGGGACGCGCTCCAGTCTGAGGCAAATCCTGGAGCCCGCCCGGAGCTGCCCTTTGGTCACCCCAAAAAAGCACACTCAGGGTTAGGGAACAGAGAGGCGTCACACGTGGGTCCAGGAGGCTTTTTCCTGCTGACAGGAGGTAATTCCAATCTGACTGGCTCTTCCGTTGGCTTGGGTTGAGGCTTGTTTGTGGCTCCTGAGCGGAGCGAGGCGCTCTGGGATGCTCCGAGAGGCAGCGTCAGCCAAATTCCAACCTGTTGTGGTTCCTGTGTCTGCTGCAGGGACACGGTTTTGCTGAGGGTGCAGCATCTTGCAGTTCTGTTCCACCTTGTTTTCTCTTTCTGGACTTAATTTGGAGAACCGTCTCAATTTTCCCTGATTAGTAGAATTTGGCCTTTTGGAAGGAGCTGGCTGCTGCTGCTACTGCGACTTAATCCTTCCCGTCGTTCCCATAAGCCTTTTATTTCTTTTACACATATTGACAGGCTGGAGCTGCTTTGGACAGTGGCCAGCCTTGTGTGTATTCCTGGCTGGCGTTCCTTGGGATTCAGCTGGGTTTGTTGTGGTGCAGTGTCATCGGCAGAGCACTGGAGCACGCAGGCTCGGGAATGGCTTTGCTGTTAGGATCCAGTGACAGTGCAAAATGGAATTACAGCGTGGAGAGTCTTTACTGCTGTAATGCAATACGGGGAATTTCGGGGGAACGCAGCTGTGGTTCGGGACGGTCTTGGTTGTGTAGTTGCTTTATGTTTCGGGTGAGATCTGTGTCTCTTTTCTTCCCTTCCGTCAGAAGGCTGCAAGTCTCTGGACCAGCTGAACCTCACAATCCCGGTGGCAGGACACCCCGCCTCTCCTGCCCACCCGCTCTCAGGATGTCCCGTTCCCAGCGTGCCACCGGCTGCAGAGCCCGTCCCTCACCTGCAGACCCCCAACTCTGACCCTCAGACCATGGCCCGAGAATGTCCACAGAGCTCCAAGCCCCCCAGCGGCTCCAAGTCCGGGCTGCGGAACACGCCGGGCTGCCTGCACGCCTCCAACAGCAAAGCGGCGGGAGCGCATTCCCACCCCAAGCAGCAGCGGATCAGCCGGCGCAGGGCGACCAACGGCTGGATCCCCGTGGGCACGGCCTGTGAGAAGGCCGTCTACGTCGTGGTAGGTGTGGAGTGCTGGGCCCAGGGGGGCTTGTGCACCCTCAGGGATTGAGGGCACGAAGGCTGGAGGGGGCTGGGTCTGGCTTCGGGCTGGAGATGATCGCCAGGTGCCAGCCGGAACCTCTCGGAGGAATTCCGAGCGGGAGCAGAGCTGCTGCTGGGTTTGTTCTCTTGAGTGCCCCCTGCGTGGCAGGGGTTTGGAAAGGCAGGAGAACCTGCTGCTCCTGTGCTGGGCTCAGCTGGAACGCCGAGCTGCCGGATCCTCCCGGCTCTGGCATGTGCAAGGGTGGCACCTGTGGCACGTGGGAGTCCCTCCTACAGGGATCGTCCTCCTTCCTCCTGGGTAGGGCAAACCTGTCTGAGAAGGTGAGGCATGTTTTACCCTCATTATAAGGGGCAGGCATCAAGGCAGGTGGTTCTCACTGGTTGGTCTGTAGCCTCACATGAATATCCCTGAGCACAGAGGACTGAGGCAATATCCTGGCTCCCAGATGGAATTTTTCCAGCACCCCAAACTCCCCTTTCTTGTAACATACACGGTGGCACAGCAGGTCACTCCTCCGGGGATTACTTGTCTGTACTTTCCCATTTGTTGTGTTGAGGGGCAGAGTCTGTCTCCTGTAAGATGAGAGATTTCCTGCCAGGGAATTCAATTAACTCCAGTAAAGTCCACTTCAGTTGAGGGAGAAGGCAATATCCTTCATCTTATTAAAACATAAGAGCTTGAAATGCGGCCCCACGTGGTGTCTGGGAAGTTGGGACGAGGTTGGATGTGCAGTAAATGCCAGCAGGAGGGAGAGGAAGGGAGAGCTGCAGGCCAGGCGGGGTCTGTGCTGCTGCTTTGTGGTGGTCCAGCCTCAGGCTGCTGAGAGCATCAGCCAGGGCAGGTTTTGGAGCTGCAGCTCTTGGGGCTGAGTGCAGGTGCCAGGATGAAGCTGTGAAGGGCAGGGACTGGCCTTGTGCCTCCATCCCTCAGGCTGTGACACCCCAAAGGAGCAGCGTGGCCTTAATCTCCTTAAAATGCTGCCAGTCTTGCCTGGGGGATGTAGCAGGAGGTCAAACCATCCTGCTCAGGTGTTCTGAAATGAAATTCAGAGCGAAAACAAACTGAAAGCCCCCAGTTTACAGTCCAAAAAATGATAGTTTTGTAGTGTCAGGGGGTACAAAGGAATATTTAGTAATCCCACTAAGGAAAGCTCTGTGCCACGGCCTCTCTGCCAATCCCTGCCCTGTTGGTGTCAAATATTTCATGTTTTGTTGGTTTCCTGACAATATTTGTGTCAAGCAAACAGACAGCATTCAAAACACACCTAGTTGTCCGTGCCCTCCAGACAGGCAGGTGAAAAGGTGATTTTCCTGAAGATGGTGGTTTTTCATGCAGAATGGGAGGAACAAATGTGTTTTAATTTGAAATAAGAGTATTCCTTTCAGTGAGAAGGGCTGTCCTGATGATGATGTCCTGCTCCTCGCTCCCAGCACGATGTAGGAGGAATAGCTGGGATTTGGTTTATTTGGAAGTGTGTGGCCTGGAGCACTTGGATGCTGGTCCTCAGTGACCTCCCTTTACCTGTGAATGCCCAACCCATTGAAAAAGTAGCTCGTTTGGCCTGATCTTTGGTGTTAGGAACCAACCTGGTGGGAATAGAGATGCCACAAGCGACATCTTACGCTGCGTGACTTCTCCTGGAGATCTGTTGGAGCGGGAGCGCTGAGCCCTGGGGAGGCTTAGGTTGGAATTCACAGGAGGAAAAAAGGAGTCTTGGGCTGGGGGAGCAAACCCCGGGCTGTGGTTTGTGTGTTGCAGAACGAGCCCGAGCCAGCCATGCGCAAGAGCTACCAGGCCGTGGAGAGGGACGGGGAGATCATCCGGGTGCGCGACACCGTGCTCCTCAAATCCGGGCCCCGCAAGAAATCCATGCCCTACGTCGCCAAGATATCGGCGCTGTGGGAAGACCCCAAGACAGGTACTGTGCCAGGAGAGAGCCTGTGTTGCCTCTGTGCTCTGTGCAGAGCGGGCTGGAAGCAGGGAAGGGATGGATCTGGGGAGAGCTGCAGGCTTGGGAGGGTACCAGGGATGGAGAGGAGATGAGCTCCGTGGATTCCGTTTGGATTGTTCCAGGAACTGAAATGCTCCTTAATCACTAGTCTGGGACTGATAATGGAAATCTTGCTGGATGTGAAAGCACATAATATCTGCCAAGTGCCCATCTTAGCAACCATCTCCCTTATTATTCCACTGCAGCAAACTTTGGGGAGCTGCTGTTTGCTCCAATCCAACATCTGGGCTGGGAGCTGATGGGAGCTGGGGCTGTTCCACAGCAGCTCCTGGGGGACCCCCATAGAGGTGGTGATGGGAGCAGTGGGGGTTTATGCTGAGGACTGGCAATACGTGAGCCAAGGAGAATGAGCTAAATGTTGTAAACTGCAAGTCTTCCTTAAAAAGGAAATAAAAAACATCCCAATAAATTTCATGTAAGAGACATAAATCCAGGTGTGGTGAGGCCCATCCTGGTCATGTCATCACAGCAGCAGTTCTGGCCTGAACCTGGGAGTCAACGCTGCGAGTTCCCACCTTTGGATGAGCATCTTTTCCAGCAGCTTGTGTGCTGAATGGATTCTTTGTCCAGGTGGAAACGTTTGATTTTTTTTTTTTTTTTTTTAATCCCTCGGGGGTTTTTTTGTGCCCAGCTGACCCCTTTGGGATGTTGTGACCCGAGGAGGAGGAGGTGAAGGTGTAGTGGGAAAGCCACATGACCGACTCCAGGCTGTAACAAAAGGACACCTAGTTCAGCGTGAAATATTTATCGCTCACAGCTGCCTCTCCCTGGGCACTGTGGGAATGGAGGGAGCTGGGAATTGGTGGGAAAACACTCCCAGAAAACTGTGGGTTGATGTATTTGGATGGGTGTTGTTGCAGGGGAGCTGATGATGAGCCTCCTGTGGTATTACAGACCAGAGCACACTCAGGGAGGCCGCAACCCCAGCATGCACCAGGTGAGTCTGGATCTGGGCCGGGAGCATCCTGGCATGGCTGTGTTCCTGTGGGAATAGGGGATCACCCCAAGCATCTCCCTGCATTCCTGGGTGGCCTCAGACTGAGCACAACAGAGCTCTCTTGGCTGTGGTGCAGCTGTTGCCAGATGTGTCCAGAGGTGGTGTCCTATAGATGGGCTTTTCCCCCAAATTTAGTGTCCTGTAGAGAAACTCTGGGCTCTGACAGAAGCTGTTGTATTCCTTACGGGGTCTACTCTGCTGAGTTTTAGTGTTTCTCCCTGTAAACTGAGAAAATTCCGTGTATTAACTGAAAAGTCACTTTGGCTGTTACCAAGGAGTAAGGAAAAGTGAGTTTCTACTGAATCAAGATCGGATGCTGTTCCAAAAGGCTGTTCTAATTCCCACAGAGCTCAATGCTCCTGCTGCCATTTTGCAGGACACTGGAGTGCCTGTAGCATGTGCTGCCTTTTAATAAATCCCTTAATCTGTTCTGAAAAGCGAGTTAGTTTTGTGCAGGAACGTGGGTGCATCGTCCTTGCCCTGTAGAGGTTTATGAGGAGAACTCAAGTCTGGCTCAAGGATGCTGTGCCAGGATAATGGAGTTGCTTTTCAAAGGAAAAACATGTGAATCACTGTGACTTCAAGGCTTGCTCTGCTTTGCATGGGCTTGTGTTGGGTGACAGAACAAGCTGGTTTTACCTGGGAATGGAGAATTTAGTGCTGTTTTCAACATAATTTTAAATACTTGGTGCTTTTCTCATTTTTATTCCTTTTTTAGATAGAAAGGGAGGGAGGGGGTGAGAGCAGGACTGGGGAGCAGCCAGGGAATTGCACCTGCCTGGTTTGCAGGGCACAGGTGAGTTTCTAAACCAAAATGTGGTACTTTGTAAACAAAAGGTGAGTGTATCCAGTTGCACTTTAGTCCAGGGAGAATGCCAGGAGCAATTAAGCCAGGTTTTTGCAAACCTGCTTAATTACACAGGCCTTCAAACGAGAGAGAGCTTGAGCTGAGGGCTGGGCTGGGCTTGCCAGAGGTGGCTCAGGGAGTTTTAATTTAAGGAGCAAACCAGAACCCCAAGGTGCAGAAGGAAGGTGTGGCATTCCCAGTGTCCCTCATCAACCCTGTCCCCAAATGGTCACCCTTTCGTGAGTCTTCCCTTCCAACCTCCTTCCTCGGGGCTGGGAGCAGAAACGGAGCCTGCAGGGAATCCTTATTCCCAGAGATCATCATCTCTGCTGATCTAACCGCACCTGGAATTCTTTCCAGTGGCTCCATCCAAGTTGCCCCATATTTAACTAATCCTGCCTGCTGCAGAGCCAAGTTCCCTAAATTACTCTGGGAAAAAATGAAGGGGAGTTCGCCCAGAGAAGCTGTGGCTGCCCCATCCCTGGGAGTGCCCAAGGCCAGGTTGGACGGGGCTTGGAGCAACCTGGGCTAGTGGAAGGTGTCCCTGCCCATGGCAGGAGGTGGGACTGGATGGGCTTTGAGGCCTCTTTCAACTCAAACCATTCCAGGATTCTATTCCATGATTCCAGAAAAGGCTGTTGCTGTTTCTCTTGCTAAACCAGCCTTTTAATTGAATTGGGATGAGGAAGGGATTCCTTTAGAGGTGATATAGAGGCGGATTAGAGAATCCAGGAGGAAAGGGGAGGCCGAGGGGTGCAACTGGCTGTGGCCTTGCTGCTGGAGAGCTTTGTAACATTGGAAATGCCTGGCATTTGGGCACTAGGCCTCACAGAGTGTGTGCTGGGCAGAGATAAATGATGGGAGACTGCTTTGCTCACGTGTTGCTGGATAAAATTCTGGTGCACAGGAACACGTGGAAGGTGTCCAGGTTGTGTGGAATATTGGCCCTAAATTTAGAGTGTTTGCTGTGGGCGTGCTTTGACTCCCCAGTGAGGGGCTGGGGGAACGTGTGGGGCTGGTCCTGGCCGGCGGGGTGACCTCTTCCTTCCTTCCCTCCCTCCTGCAGAACGAGATCTTTGCGTCCCGGCACCAGGACGAGAACAGCGTCGCCTGCATCGAGGAGAAGTGCTACGTGCTGACCTTCGCAGAGTACTGCAGGTAGGTGGAGCTCTGGACCTGCTGCTCTTCCAAAACCTCCCCTGCCTCCAGCTCCTCTCGCTCTTCCAGTTTCCAGCCATCCCGACTGTCCATCCCAGCCCTGTAGGCTGTGGTGGGGCAGAGCTGGGGGAGTGACACTCGCTCTGCTGCAGGCTGAGGGCTTCTCCCACTGCGGATTCTTGGGGTGTGGGTTGTGTAGAATCATGGAATCGTTTGGGTTGGAAAAGCCCTTGGAGATGGTCAATTCCAACCGTTCCTCCACATGGCTTTTAAATCCCTCGAGGGATGGAGACTCCACCACTGCCCTGGGCAGCTGTTCCAGGGCTGGACAGCCCTTTCCATGAAGGAATTTTCCCAGTATCCAACCTAAACCTCCCCTGGCATAGCTTGAGGCCATTCCCTCTCCTCCTGTCCCTTGTTCCCTGGGAGCAGAGCCCGACCCCCCCCCCCCCCCGGCTGCCCCCTCCTGTCAGGGGGTTGCAGAGCCAGAAGGTCCCCTCTGAGCCTCCTTTTCTCCAGGCTGAGCCCCCCACAGCTCCCTCACCCACTCCTGCTGCTCCAGCCCCTTCCCCAGCCTCTCATGCTCCTGTCGAGGGGGTCCCAAGCGCCGGTGCTTGTATGTGAGCAGTAAAAACAGGGGGGTTACTTATTGTCATCTTTGGTGCTGTACAACATGTACCAGGATGGAAATATAAACTTGTGCTGCTTCCTGCAGCTCAGGGGGGATGGAAAGCAGGAGCTCTCCTTGAGCAAAGCTTCGTTCTCCTTCACACTCTATCCCTTCCCACTTATCTTTGGGAGCCATGGTTGTGGCTTCCAGCAGGTCACAGACAGCAGGAGGGGGACTGAGTTCATGGTCCTCAGCACAGGAAGGATGTGCACTTGTGGGAGTGAGTCCAGGGGAGGCCACCAAGGTGATCAGAGGATGGAACAGCTCTGCTGTGAGGAAAGGCTGAGAGAGTTGGGATTGTTCAGCCTGGAAAAGAGAAGGCTCCACAGTGACTTAATTGCCCCTTCAGTACCTGAGCCAACAGGAAAAATGGAGAGAGACTATTTATGAGGGCCTCAAGGACAGGACAAGGGGTACTGGCTTCACACTTACAAAGAGAAGGGTTAGATTGGATATTAGGAAAAAATTCTTCCCAGTGAGGGTGGGGAGGCCCTGGCACAGGTTGCCCAGAGAAGCTGTGGCTGCCCCATCCCTGGAAGTGTCCAAGGCCAGGTTGGACGGGGCTTGGAGTAACCTGGGCTAGTGGAAGGTGTCCCTGCCCATGGCAGGGGGTGATACTGGCTGAGCTTTAAGGTCCCTTCCCACCCAGACCATTCCAGGATTCCGTGATAACTCCTGTGTTCCGATTGCCCTGCAGATTTTGTGCCTTGGCAAAGCGTCGAGTCGAAGGGATCCCGGGCAGGAAAACCATCATGGTTCCTCCCTCGGAGGAGTATTCCACCCCTCTGCACCGCAAGGTGCCCGAGGACACGGACCCCGAGCTGGTTTTCCTCTGTCGTCACGTCTACGACTTCAGGCACGGGCGCATCCTGAAGAACCCCCAGTAGGAGCCTCCTTCCGCCGGAGCGCGGCGGGAACGAGCCGATGGTCCGGGACACCTGGGCACTCCCGACTCACCTCGTGCTGCTGCAGGTGGGAGCGCCCGGCGCTCCGTCCTGGGACTCGGGAGCGCGCGAGAGGAGCGGAGCCCGCGGAGGGGAGGCAGCGGTTGAAAGCACAGCACTTCGTTTAAAAAGCATAAATGAAAAATATATACGTATAAAATAAATATATGTATATAGATATAGGGATTTGCATACGTAAATCTATATCTATATATGTATCTAGAGATGCATCTATTGGTAAGGTTTGCAGGGGATACAAGGCAGGAAGCGATGCAGAGCCACGATTGGGAGAGGTGGGAAGGTGCAGGAGGGATGTGGTGGGGCAGCGTTGAGTCCAGCTGGGACAGGTCGGGGGGTTTCGGTGGGAACTGAGCCCAGTTCCTTGGCAGAGCACAGGAGAGTCTCCTTTGTCCCACAGGGACAGATTCTGAGTAGTCTCAGTGGGTGAGAGCTTCTTCAAAATACAGCTTTGGGAGCTGCCTGGATGCAGAGTGGCCTTGTGTCATGCTTGGATAGGTGTTGCTCCATCAGGGGAAGAGGTGGCCCCTGTTCTCCCTTGTCTTTCTCCTCCCCTCACCTCGCTGCTCCAGGATTCACCACCTGGAGTGGGGCTTGGAGCAGAGGGAGCAGCCAGGATCGCAGGTGTCACAACCCAGTGCAAGGTTAGAGGTGGGCCTGTCCCAGGTGTCCTGACTGTGCCCAGAGGGTCTCGTGCCCCATTCCCAAAGCCCAGCACCCACCAGTGCATGTCACTCGGAAGGTTGGAGCTCACAAAGTGGGCTCTGCCAGTCAGAACCACGTTTCCTCTTCTCTTCTGAGTGTTGCTCTTCCTCTGATGGCTCAGGGGGCTGTGGGTTTTCCCCTTCCTTCCCAGTTTGTTTCCTGTAATGTCATTTACAGTCCCTGCTTATCCCTGTGTGTGTGCAGTGGGAAGCAGCCAGAAGGGGGAAGTGGCAAACCCTTTTCTTGTGTGTTTTTGGCTTGTTTAAATTCCCCTCCCTCCCCGCGGGACTGTCCTGATCCTGGGCCTGCTGTTGAAGCCATTGGCAGCCTCCCTGCTCCAAGCTCATCCTGGTGTCCGAGCAGGCTCACCAAAGTGGCTTTGTGGCTCCTGAAAGGGCCTGAGCATCGGGAAAGGTTCGCATGGACCATGCGGCCCGAGCCCCGCAGGTCCTGCCTCTTGCCTTACCTGTACAGATCCCGGATGGCACTTAGATCCCAGACAGCCCTTAGATCCCAGACAGCCCTTAGCTTATCTCAACGCAAACTTGGAGTTAATCCCAAAGCAAACCAAAGGACAGCATCAAATCCCGGGGAGTCCCTGCCCCAAGGTGGGAGCCCAGCCCGAGATTGCACTACCGGACAGAAGGAGAACCGAGCCCGTGACACCCAATTCCTGCTGGCAGAGCAGCCCACTGAAATGAGGGATCTGTGTTTTCCCAGTCTTCTGGGGCTTTTGAAATGGTGTTCCGTGGTGGAAGCGTCCATTCTGCTTCAGTGTTGTCCTGTCAGTGGAAGCAGCATTCCCTGTATTCCCTCAGGATGCAGGGCTGGTCTCCTTGCTCCGACAGCCACCCGCCTGCCCGGCCTGAAGAGAGAACCCCACAGCATCCAATCCCTTACATGGAATAGTCTGGGAATGCAGGAGTTCACCAGAGATTTGCTCTACATACCAAAGAGGGGACTGTGTCCGGAGATGATGGTTTGAGGGGATGACAAGCCTGGAACCCACCGCGGTGGGCGGGCATCTCCCTGCTGCCAGTGGGTGATTCCCGCTGGAAAATTCCTGTTTTTTCCCTCCTGCATAGCCCAGGGAGAACACACGGCTCTGGCAGGTGGGATCCCAGGTGTGCAAGCAAAAAAGTGGCAGGTGAAGCATCTTCTCTCACTTATACCTCAAGATACTGTTGGTGTCAAAGGGATCACCCGGATCTCTCCTTAACAATTCTCTTGGCACTGGGGGTCTCTTGGAATGAATGGGGGGGCTGTGTTGGGGTGGGAGGTGGCAGCACTCTGAGGACAGTCAGATGAAGGGGTGCAAGGAGGCATTGGAGGACATGGTCTCTGCTGTTTCTGGTGGAGGATATGGAATGGTTTTCCCCTGTAACTCGGAGGGAGGAGGCTGGAGAAGTGGAGCTGCTCCTGCCCGTGGCATGGAGGGAATGGGCAGAGCAGTGAGGGCAGAGTGAAGCAGCTGCACCCTGGGGTGGGCGGGAGGTGATGGGAAACCCTAAATCCCCAGTCTGGCTCCATGGGGACTCCTTTGCCCCCCAGCCTGAAGCAGGTGAGCTGCCGTGGCTGTTTCCCTCTGGCAGTGCCATTGGACATGGAATGCTGCGAGACCCACCGGCTGGGAGAACCTGAGCACTGCTGCAGTCAGGGCCTTGGAACCTCTGAAATTCCTCCTCCTGCCCCCTCTCTCCCTGCTCCCACCTTGCCCTGGCTCCTCTCCAGGTAGCAGAGAAATTATCCTTGCCCTGGGTCTGGAATGGGCTCCGAGCTGACTCTGGAGAGGACAAACCTGACTCTTCTCATGCTGAGTCTGCTTTAGGCCATGGACATTGAGGTTCACGTGGTTGCTGATGCTGTTGTGCAAACAGCATGTAAATGAATTGAAATGTCTTATCCCTAATGAGAAGATTTCCTGCTTTTTTAATCTATTAGATATGGAAATATTTTTTGAAACTGAAAAAAAAAAATGCAGTCGGTAGAATTTAAATCGAAGCGTTAATACATGTAAAATATATTTTAGTTGATAATTTTGTAAAATGCACTTTTTTGTGTCTCTTCCCTGGTTTCCCAGATCTGTATTTCAGTGTTTACAGATGGAATGAGAACATTCCCTATTCCCTCCTTCTGTGAAAAAGATATATTAGAAGTAATTCTTAAAAAATAAATTTGAAAAATCGTATTGATTTAGAAAACAAACCAGTGCTGGGCTGTTATTCCCGTCCCTGCCTGAACTTCTTCCCCCCTGGATCCAGTGGTTGCAGGAATTAGGAGTGCTTGGGAGCAGATTTGGGTGCTCCAGGCCTTGGGGTGAGCAATCTGTTGGGTTTTCCAAGGAAACAGAACAAGTGGCAGCAGGATGGGCAGGGTCTGACTTACTTTTTTCCATTCTGCTGTTGACAGCTGTTGTCAGTGGAATATTTGAGTTTTCCCAGGCAGGGAAGGTGGTGGTGGTGAAGCTTGTTTCAGCTAGGCTTTAGGAACCCTGTGGGAAGCACTTGGGAATGTTGCTTTGGAAAAGCATCTTGCTTGGAGCACTGTCTCCGTCAGCGCTTGCCGTTGGAGCGTCCCAGCCCCGGGCACCAAGGGCCACAGGCACCCCAAGGACGAGCATCCTGCACAGACATCCCAAACAGCCAGGAGGATTCCAAGTGGGAAGAGAGCAGAGAGGAGTCACCCCGCTCAAAAAGGCGCAGCGAGGAGCGGGATAACGGGATCGGGATTGCCTGATGGGAATGTCTGCAGCTACAGCCAGGTGAGAGCTGTCTGGGGGTGCTCATGGCCAGAGCAGCCCTGGATGGTGAATACCCCAGGGAATTCATCCCAAAACCGTGGGGACCTTGGTCGGGGCTCGGAGCCCTTCCTGTGACCAGGCTGTGCTGGGTGTCCCTACGTGTCCAAGTGGTGGGGAGGTGACAGGACCCTTGGAATCAGCTATTCCTATGAGTAATGCTGTGAGTGGACCCTTGGATGCCTGGGGAGGGAGGGGATGAGTTCTGGGAACAAAATGAGCAGAAGGGAAGAGTAATATCTGGCATGGAATTAGCTCCTAATTACAGAGAAGTGAGTGAGGGGCACATCTGGCTTGTGGGGTGGGGACGGGAACTGCATCCATAACATGCCTCAGATCCCGGCTGGCTGCATCTGGGATTTGCAGCATCTTTTGCTCCCAGGTCACCTAGAGCAGGAGATCCTGAGATGGTCCCATGGGGTGAGCTGGGGCCACTCTGGAGCTGCCCCGATCCCTGTCCCATTACAGCCCTGCTGGCATCACACCAGTTCTTAAATTCCTGGTTGGATTTCTTCATGGGATTAGGGATTTTGCTAGATCCCTGTCTTTTCCTTCCTGCACCCAGTCACGTCACAGCACAGCTCCTTGCGGGGAGCTGCCAGCAGAGGTACAAACCTGGAAAGCTGGATAAAACCAAGAGAATTCCTGAAAAAGGAAACCACCGCAGTGATGAAGTGAATTAAACTGGGAATTATCCTCCCAAGGAGAGGAAGGAGCTTGTCTGGGGACGTTTATATTTGTGAGCCGGTGTGGGGGTCACTGAGCACGATATTCCTGAACCCGTGGCCTGAGATTTCTGCTGAAGAACCAGTTTGAGATTTTCCAGTTGGATTTAATGTGACTCAGCAGCCCCGAGGCATCAGTGAGGTGGGTGCCAGGAATGGAGTGGAAACCTGTGCCTGCACCACGGCCGGATCCGGCACTTATCCAGGTGTGGATGTTCCCCTGGAGGGGTCTGTTGGAAAGAAAACCGAGAAAAAGCTTTTCCTTCCCAGCTCTTCCCGCGTGGCGAGCCATCACCGAATGGATAATCTGTGGCGGGCTGAAAAGTTGGGATTAATGTCGAAGAAAATTGGATTTACTGTTGAAATCTGCCACCCGAGGGAGCTGCACGGAGCCGTATCCGGCTCTCCTGGATCCTACGTTCAGCAAACTGCTCCTGTATCCTGACTGATGCTGCCAGGAATGTCCTGCTGCCACCTCGGCACGGTCCTGCTGGCCACAGGTTGTCCTTGGCGTGACGTGGAGCATCGGGAAGGCGTGGGCTCACCCGGCTGGGAAGCGGGAGGTGTGTGGCCACCGGAATCCCACCCGGCTTTGGCCAGCTGGGGACCCCACGGTGGCTCCGTGGCTGGTTTCCATCACCAGCGGTGGTTCAGGCTCCTGGCAGAGCCGACCTGCTGCGTCACATCTCCCTCGTTTC